AAAACTCCTGCAAACTTTAGACAGGGAGGTACCCTAGACCTTCACTGCCAAGCCACAGCCACGGGCAGCTCACTGATCACTTATGAATGGTTTGCAACAGATTTTGAGGGCAACAGTAAGGACATGTTGTTAAGTAGATATACACTCCAGTCAAATACTGGCAAGCTTACAATCAGCAATCTCAACCATACTCAGGATGACGGCTACTTCTACTGTGTAGCAGCGAATGCTGCTGGAAAAGTGAGGTCCAAACGATTGGTGATTCAAGTGGCATGTGAGTGACCTAGTATTTTATTTGTACATGCATACAGTCATGTAAAGTGTGTTGTTTGTTTTTTTTCCAAGGCAGCATGATTTCTCACAGTCACATACTGTACAGGCAGTTAAAAGAATAAAATACCCATGGATGTTTTTCATGCAAGCCTTTGTTAAGTGAAACGTCTGGACGAGCAGCTGCTGTTAACTCTTTCTCTATTTTTTTTTAAACTAAACATTTGTAATATTTTAAGAAATTTGAACTGACACATTTCCCAAATCTTTTGATCAGAGGGTATGACTCCTGTTATTTCTCTCTGCCCTACGGGATGTCTATGGTAATACATGTACATGTACATGTTCATGCAGAATTGAGGGTTGTGCTTTGCTCCTTACTTCTCAGATCTTGAAGCCTTTCCAAATGCTGGTGTATCTGTGAGTGCAAGTGCACTGCAAGGCGGCAAATTTAGTTATGATTATCCTGTTGTTAAAAGCTTCCCCAAGCCCACAATAACCTGGACAAAATCTGGTAGTGCACTTTCTGAGAGTCAACGTTTTAGTTTCTCTGCCACTGGAAACCTCTACATCGGAAATGTTGATGTGAACGACGCTGGTAACTACGAGTCTAAAGTAGAGAACACTGTGACTGGCCAATCATTTAACAGAGGAACAATTGCATTAGGTGTAACAGGTAAGATACATGTACATCCAGCTGGTAGCTTAATTGTGTTTCTGAAGTAAATGTACATTTTACAATGTGTATACTAATGAAAATGGATAAAACAGTTAAAAGTCATTCATGTAAATTTCATGTGTAATTCACAATTTTATCTTCTAAAGGCTTTGCCAAACAGAGGACTTTGCAAGTCTTTACATATGTTTTCACCTTTTGTCTACTTGTCACTCTGTTAAGTAGGCTTCCTGTAGGGACAGCCAGGTAGTAGTTTGACAAAAAAAGATGTTGATTTAATTTGGCCAGGACTTTCATGCATGAGTGCTGACATGAGATGACTTGTGTTCACTTTAGGGAAGTCTCACAAAATTTGCCTCTTTTATTTTCATGAAGTTCTTCCAAACTAAGTACATGTACATGTAACTACATTAAGGTTGCAGTGATCCTAGTGACATACATTGTATAAAGGTAAAGATAAAGTCTGTATACGAGCTAAGTGGCCCATCAGGCTGGAGGTTATCACGGTTTCAGTAGCATGAAGTGACTAGGAGTATTTCTATTTCACCCTGGATGGGGTGCTCATCCATCGCAGGGTTACCCATAGCACCCATTTATACACCTGGGTGGAAAGAGGTGCTGTGAGAGTCTATTTAGTGTTTTGCCCAAGAACACAACGCACTGTCCCCAGCCAGGGATCGAACCTGGACCCCTTGATCTGGAGACAAGCTCACTAACCATGAGGCCACTATGATTCCCACAAGTTACATACAGTACATACTGTTTCCATTCTTTGTAAACTGGTAATATACAGATTTAGGCCAGCCTAAAAGCATAGCTCTTGGGCCAGGGTGTTCAGAGCCGGATTAAGCTAACCCAGGAAACGGTAGAATTTTGATTTGAGTTTTGTAACTTTGCGGTGAGGTTTTCTGTATATTGTTT